GATCAGTAGATGGATTGGAAGCCCTGGGGGGGGGAGTATAGGAACCTGATTGATCAGTAGATGGATTGGCAGCTCTGGGTGGGCTCCGTGCAGTCGCAGTGACGCCAGCATGCCATGCTGATATATGGTTTTATGGTCCCGGCAGATGTTTCTGTCACCTCTGGGGTCATAAACAGTTAAGACGAAGCACAGAGGCTGCAGGAAGCTCTCGGCAGACTTGGAGGACTGTGGCTAGACAGGGGGAGGAAGGTGAAGTGAGAACTGTCTGTTCTGCCACGGCTCACATTCACTTTCATTCTGGATTGTGAATTTCTAAGACGTGATTCACTCTGATTGTGGGCGGGAAGCAGCACAGACAGTCCTCAGTACTGACACTCAGATACTGAGGATTATATGAATAGGAAAGGGTTAATTGAGATCAGAAGGGCAGAGGTACACAGGGAGGAAAGGGTTAAATGAAAGATATGGAGAGGGGTATTATACAAAGGTAGAGGGGGCGGGGTGTATTATACAGAGGTGTGGGGGTTATTATAAGGAGGAGGGGGGTATTATACAAAGGTAGAGGAGGGGGGTATTATACAGAGGGGGGTACTATACATAGGTCAGGAGAGCCTGGGGCTGTACGAAGGTATGGAGGAAGGAAGAGGTAAATGGGGAAGTTATAAAGAGGTATTGGAGGAGTATGGGTAAGCGAGGGGTTAACAGGGATGTTACGCAGAGGATGTTAGGGTTATAGAGGGGTATAAAGGAGCAGGGTGGGGGTAGTGGAAGGTTAGAGAGTAGTAGTTGGAAGTAGGGAGGGATAGAGGATGGATATGGAAGGGTAGTTGGGGGGGTGGTATGGTTTAATAGTTAGGAGTATGGTAGTGGAGACGTAGTTGGCATAGTTGATGGCATAGGGGGTAGTAGAGGGATATGGAGGGTAGTTGGTGGCATGGTGGGGTAGTAGAGGGATATGGAGGGTAGTTGGGGGCATGGTGGGGTAGTAGAAGGATTGGGAGGGTAGTTGGTGGCATGGTGGGGTAGTAGAGGGATATGGAGGGTAGTTGGTGGCATGGTGGGGTAGTAGAGGGATATGGAGGGTAGTTGGTGGTATGGTGGGGTAGTAGTTGGAAGGGTGGGGTAGTGGGAGTATGGGAGTAGTAGTTGGTGGAGTAGTAGAGGAGTATGGGAGAAGTAGTTGCTATGGTGGGGTAGTAAAGGAGCAAAGGGGTAGTATGGTGTGGTAGTAGAGGAGTATGGGGGTAGTGGTTGACATTGTGGGTAGCAGAGGAGTATGGGAGAAGTAGTTGCTATGGTGGGGTAGTGGAGGAGTGTAGGAGTAGTAGTTGGTATGATGGGGTAGTAAAGGAGCAAAGGGGTAGTAGTTTGTATGGTGGGGTAGTGGAGGAGTAGTAGTTTGTATGGTGGGGTAGTAGAGGATTATGGGAGCAGTAGTTGGTATGGTGGGGTAGTGGAGGAGTGTAGGAGTAGTAGTTGGTATGATGGGGTAGTAAAGGAGCAAAGGGGTAGTCGTTTGTATGGTGGGGTAGTGGAGTAGTAGTTTGTATGGTGGGGTAGTAGAGGATTATGGGAGCAGTAGTTGGTATGGTGGGTAGCAGAGGAGCATGGGAGTAGTAGTTGGTATGGTAGGAGAGGAGTATGGGAGTAGTAGTTGGTATGGTGGGGTAGCAGAGGAGTATGGGAGTAGTAGTACTCGCTCACCTGTCCCGGCTCTCCCTCCTCTCAGCTCGGAGGGCTTCTCTCAAACTT